TTATGAAAACATGCTCCCTATTTCACGAAACTCCAGACTTGGGCGAGGTCAATTTCAGATGCTAACGTTGCTTAAAATCGACGCGCACAGACCCCAGAGAGCGTAAATGGATAGTGTACGGCAAGCCTTTGTGCCCGAATGTTATCGGCTTCTTTCGAAGCGATGGAATTTCACTTTGGCCAACTTCAATGCCACAATTTCATGAGCAACTTCTACTTACTAGCTAATACACATCGCAAATAAATGTGGTAGATAAAGGTGAAGAGAAGTCAATGATTTAAAATCCAGTCATTTGTTTTAGTTCACGCGATTCGGGTAGGTTACAAACGCTAAAAGGTGGACTCTTTGATTCCAGCATGAAATTTACACAAAGAGAGTAATTCCTCCACCTGATACGCCGATGATTGGGCGATTAGGTAAAGGCAATCAATAAATTTGACCTCTGTGTGTAGAGGTGCTGAAGCTCTTGTGGAGTTCAACCCTATCCAAACTGTCCTCCCGTGCGTTTTTGAGTACAAACTAAACGCTAATTTACTCCAAAACCTTAAGAGTTATCCACGTGTGGAGGGATATATTATTTTGTACGCGTCTGACATCCTTCGATGAACCCTGGACAAGCGGAAGAATTAGCCAACAGTGGTTAATTTAGCCACTTCAAATTCCCACTGCACTGCTCCAGTTGACATTTAGCCATTTAAAATATTTGCCTAAGACCTGAGCTTTCGATCTGCATCCAAAAGTAATAACGATTCGCGCGAAATAACTTAGCACAGAATCTATGAATTGCTTCTTCGTGTTGTACCCAATCAACGCTTTCTACTCCCTTCAAACCCGAGGCATCCTTGATGTCCACGGAGGAAGTACTGTGTCAAGGAGAACAATATGGTCGGCTGTGGTTGCCAGGGCGCCAAATTTTGCGCGCATCCAGCCCCTGGAACACAATGCAAGCATTACAATGGGCACGTGGCTGGGAGGAACAACGGACGCGGTGCATCACCAAAAAAAAACAACGGGTGCTCTGTTCTAACTTACAAATGTGCTTTAAAAACGTGGCTAAGAATACCCCACGGACTTGGGAGCAAGTGAGACACAGCGAAAATGAGGCTGTGGTATACGTCCTGACGAAATGGATGATCCGTACGCATCTTAGTCGATCCTCTAAATCCAGCCATTGCTTTGCAGTTGATTAATTTTTGGTTGATCGACTACAGGAGTTAATGGTGAGGACAAACACGTCCCAAGTGTGCTTATTTTCCAATTCCCAAAATTCCAGTTGTCCGTTAGTTAGGCGACAAAAACACACAAGACAAAACGCAGCCTAGTTTTACAGCACAAGCCGCATTCAGCTTGGTCTGCGACACTCCCAACAGCACAATACATCACCAACGCCTCCTCTTCCTTTGATGGCTCTAAGGCCTGATGCCTTTGTATTAACTTTTTAACTGTTTTGCACTCTTTACTGACACGAGAATTCACAATTGCACCAGGTTGGCTTTCATTCTTGGAGGACAATTATATATGAGTAAACAATTCACCTTCAAATTTCACCAGCCCACGTCAATTAGAAGGAGTAGCCGATTGTAATTTGATATAGCAACATCGATTTATCGTCAATCTACGTTGGTGTCGAATTGAACCTCGTACAATCTAACCACATTTGTTTAGTAAATGAACTAGATGTGTTACAGGCAGAAATTTGCAGGCTACACGTTTGGGTGCGTACGCGCGAAATTTGTCGCTGAACAGACAAATTCCAGCCTGTAGATTCAGCTAAGGTTTGAAACGGACTATTAGGTGTTTGTTACGGTCGATCGCTACTACTGTGAAGTATAACATGACCGAATTTCTTTCAACCCCTGCGCCGCCGCCCAGTACCACAACAAAAGCTGGCTTATTTCGACTTGGCTTGGTACGCTCGTCAAATTCACCAGCTGAGCAGAATTCATGCGTAAAAACGCATTTTTTTTCTAATTAATCAAATTAACTCGCACAAGGTCCGTCAGAATTAATGCACCTTTCTACCGCAGCGTGCATTAAAACGCTGCCACCATCGATTTGAAACACGACGACAAACGCATAGAAACATCTACTTTGGATCGTGAACAAAACAACACAATTTGCAGATAAATTAAGAAAATTTCTGTGATTAACGGACTGATTGGGAACGTGCTGTGGCGGTTCAAAATCACATGATTGCAGCCATTGTTTAAGTAAAGACAACATTCGATTCTGGGCAAAGAACAATTGGACGCTGGCACGAAGCATTTAAATTAACGATTTAAAGAGAGTGGGAGAGAGAGAAAGAGAGCAAATGCGAAATAATGGTGACAAGCCATCTGTCACTGCTTACGGTTGCGAAGCCGCCCACCGCGTTGCGATTGCGCCGAAGCCACCAATTAGTGTGCAATTTAAACTAAAATTTTGTTCGGTGCGACTCAATCGGCCCACATGCACACACGTGGGCTAAAAATTGTTCAATGACCTATCGCAAAGCGAAGACGTAGCATTGAAGCTGCTTTTACCGGTGGCACCCAAAATCGACCTCAACCAAATTCGAAAGCATCGCTTAGAAAAGGTTAGGCACTACATTCAGGCAATTATTGTAATTTCTTTGCATTCAGCATTCACTTAAGGGTAAAATCTACATTAATACTAGAATTCATAGAAATTGTTTTCAACAACTCACAAATTCTCGTGCTCTTAAACCCTCCTTCCACGTGGTATGTCATAATTTGTGTTTTAATAAGAATGACTGCGTTGGTGCACGGCAGTAAATTTTGTGATTGGCTAACGATTGGCATCGCCTGTTTTGCCAGAATGACTGACCTTGACCTGACCCCTAAATAATGACCTTTTCGGACATCTTTAAAGACAGGCACTGCCAGAACCGCTTTTACAGGTGAAAAGCCGGTTGGCAGAAATGGGGACTTCAAAAGAGAGGGAGAGAGAGATACCACTGCTCACAAACTGCAGCCCATATTGCACTTATTCACCCCCGCACACGCCCCACCTTAATTTAATCACAAAAGCTTCAGTATTGTGTGGAAACGATGATGGCCCCGGATAAAAACGGACCCAGGATTATGGTCTGTCGAGTCGCCGCTCGTGCGGCCCATTTCATCAAACCGCACTGTGCGCTAAAACCTCTAACGGTAGAGGATGTGTAGCTTTTCTTGCCACTTATTCTCCAATCAAATCACAGCAAAAGCGAAGCAGAAGTCCGGTTACGGTGTCAGTAATGCCTTACTGACGTGTGACCAGTTAAAACCTTTTACGATGGCCAAAAACCGGTGTTAAATCACTGTTATTTGTGGCTTCCACAATGCATTACTATCAAGGACTTCCTAATGATGTGTAATGGGTTAAAAATGGATTCTGTGCGCAATTTTGAACGGATATTTACGGAACAAAAAAACAGGTATTTTGCCAAAAACCACGCAAACAGCTGCAACACAAAAGAATCACGCGTAGTTAGCCAGCAGTAAGGCAACGACAAGTGCAAAACGGAACGACAATTGCTCAAATCAGAGAAAGCAAGTGAGCAACAATGGCTGCAGGAGTTTGCCCAGTAAGAGGACCGAGTCACACGAGAGTTGGCGGTCGACCTGTGACGGGGTGGGGTTGGGGAAAGAGATGTTAGGAAAAAAAAAGAACGGTAGTTAACATGCACATGCAAAATACACACACACACACACATAAATTATCTTCACTTCTGGTAACCTAGCAAGACTCAAACTACAAAGGTCCCTGCATCAACGCAATTAAGTGTACGGTAAAACGGTTTTATTGCGATAGCACGAAGCAGCCAATAAAAGGGAGGAGATTTTTTTTATGCGCGATGCGCAGAGGGCACGGTTTTGTGTTTTAAACAGAAATTTAAACCCAGCAAAGCCAGAGTGGGTTGCTTTGAAATGCACCAGGACCGTGGTCAGCTGCTCCTGGCGAATCGAGGGCAGTTGGGTATATCGTGTGTGGGTGCTTGAAGTCTCCCGGACTTCGACTGCTCATTTCCCCAAACATGGAAACGATCCCGCTCAAACTCAACTAATCCGCTGTTTAAGAGGGTTTGTCAGAAGTCGATTCAGAAAGAACGTGGACTCCATCTAAACAATCGACAAACTTAACTCGTCCTTTAAGTCAAATTGAGAACGACTAAATCAACTCCGGATAATGCTTATTTATGGTTTTGGGGGGATTCCGTAACTGTGGAGTTAGGAGGTCCAAATGATTTAGTGTCCAAAGGATTCGAAGTGACCTTTAAGTGAAACTTGGTTTTTGGAAAGTGAGATCCAGCAATATGACCTAGGGACAGCAGAGGCGTCTGAAGAAGCAGGCAGAACAACACCGAATCGCATGCCGGAAATGCCATCTTCTCAAGACTGCATTACATGAGCGCCGTTTTCCTGATTTGACCACAAAAAACCGGAATGCACAATGTCGCTTAGCAATAAGGAGGAAAAAAACAACGCACTCAACTGAAGTGGGTAAAGGCGTGGCCATGTCTGGGAAAATTAAATTTGACCGTAAATAGAAAAAAAAAACAACAAACAGATCACCTGAAAAGCAAACGCACGTTTACTGGGCTGCGTGGTTTGCGGACGCTGTTCGCACACAAGGTGAGCGCGTCCCGTTTCGGCAAATTTTATCCACGAAAAAATCTCCCAGATAATTAAGCCAGCACTCAAGTGGTGGGTGGGAAGCGCAAGGGGTTTGGTAATCCCAAACGATGGGAGCAATAGTCCGTGGGATTCAGTAAATTTTCAAGTGACGACTTCAGGCAAGTTCAGATAACACGACGTGCGTTAAATTCACGAACACGCGCAGAATGAAAGTGAAACCGAATTGGTAATTACGTGACATTAAAAAGCAGCAAATTTTACGGAAAAGAGAAAATACCCCACGGACGAGGGGGCACTGGGGTTTATTCTGTCTAACAGGTAAGCCTGGAAGCATTGAATGCTAAAATTACATTGTTGAAAGTAGAAAAAAACGTGTGGGACTTACGTGGGATTGCCCATCATGGCGGCGTGGTGGAGGCAGTTGTGCCCGAGGCTATTAGTTATCGCGAGGTCTGCTCGATTGGCCAAAAGCAGTTCCACCATGGCGAGGTTCTCCCCGGAGACGGCGTCGTGCAGTGGTGTATCACCGTCGCAGTCCTACATACGAGAGGGAACGGGCTATTTTAGGAGGGGACAGTGTTTTAAGTAAAACTAGGCTACGAGTGCATTACTGTAGGTAGCACACGGCTCGAACACAACAGAGGTGCATTACTAATTGATCAACCGCCTCCGGCAACCTGAATCGTGGGTGCATGGCAGGGATCAACATTTAGCCCAAAATGCACCGGTTCGATCGACTGAGGATGATTGAAAAGTCAAGTTTGCATTGATTTACCTCGTCCGACAGCGTGTAAAAAGTGGGCAAATACAACTGGTGGGGAGGATGCCGATTGGTCGGCGGCGGGGCAGGCGGGTCAACAGAGGCGCGCGGTTATGGCACTCACTAGGACGGTGTGTGGGTGCGGGTGCGTGTGTGAATTATTCAACAGCCGGCTGATGAAAGAGAGCAGCTCACGCTGTCTTCGCGAACCCATTATGAAATGCCAGGCAAAGATGTAATGAATTAGAATTTAGGAGGCCAAGTGCCGGAGCACAGGCAGTTGCCAGAATTTGTCTAGATGTTAGGCGACCGATTTCAAAGGACACCAGAAGTGTGGTGACTTCAGCCTAAACGACAAGCTTCGTTTCCAACCTAATCCGTGACTCAGAGAAGAATAATCAACAGGTTGCCACTGTAGTGATGGCCGAGAGACTAGCTGTGGACAAATAAACTGCATTTCGCCACTTAAACCAACTCGAAACTCGATCCGTGGACAGAATGGAACCAACTGAACCTCCTCATCCGTCATTGATACAAACCTTTCTTGGGTCAAGTCACAAACTGGCGCACAAAAAGAGGGAACAAAATTTGTAGGACGCGTTGAATTGGTGCATGCGATGGACATTTTTGTGTGTTTGCGGAAGGAGAACGCAGAGGAATAATATCTTTACGAATCCATAACACGAGATAAAACCCTAACCGCTGAGAAGTGAAATGAATATTGAAATCCAGACAAACTCCGTTAATAGGACATGCTTCGTCTTTCATTATGGCAATGCCACATCATGTATAATTTTGAAAGAAATTAGAACATATTGGGAAACGGTGAACGGAAATGCTTGAGGGCAAATTAATGATCTAAAGTGTGCGCTGTTGTGTGATTTGATTTCAAATGGGACACGAAATTTAGATATCATTTCTTTTGGCTACGATTTGGTCACCGTGGACTTCGTTTATTTGGACCTGATGTTCTTTTGAGTCTTAAGTTCTTAAGTCGGTCAGACATGAAGCGGGGCGCAATACCATCCGTAAATGT